TAGTGGACAAATCCACGCTTTCAATGCATACGTGGCCGACCCCGAAGGCGTCTTGTGGGGAATTGTACATAGAATACCGGCCGGGACTCCACAAGATAAACTAATGGAGAACCTACGTGTTCAGACTCAAGGGGTGAATATGGAGAGAGCAAGAATGTTGGGCTCGTCTAGAAGGGCGATTATCACATTCACGGTCAATGTGCTACCGAGGAGCGTATACATCATGGGTGCCGAGTTAATATTCTACCCATACAAGCCAACAGTACAGGTGTGCAGGATATGCCTCCAAACCGGACACCGTACGGACGTCTGTCCAACTCCAAATGTCAATGTATGCCTCAAGTGCGGGGCAAGGGAACCAATGCAAGGACACGACTGCATCCCCAAGTCTGTCATCTGTGACGGTGAACACCCCAGAGGAGATAGTCTGTGCAAGAAAAAAACTTAAGAACGTCGCTCCTCTCAAGAAATTAAGGGCAGATCAGCCAAAAGACTGGGATAGCCAACTTTAATGTACCGGCGATGCCAAGTCGTCCGAAGAATGCCCTCCACTAAGGCTGGACATGCCTCGATGGTTCCGCTCGGACCGGATGGAACAGCGCCAGTCAAGGTCAAGATCACGATCCTGATCGAGATCCCAGTCAAGGTCGCGATCGAGATCTCGTTCACGGAGGGACAGACAAAATCCCACTAACACGGCACCTCCGGCCCCTGGGAAATCCAGCTTTAAGAACCAACGAAAGCACCGCGGACCTCCGGCCGAGATGGGTTCCTGCGAGGAATCTTAAGACGCCCTAGCCACCGGCCGGACAAACATAAATCAGGTGAGCTTTGTGGGGGCAGTGTCTTCCGATGCTCCTATAACAGAAAATCCACAATACAAGAAAACATTGGAAGAAAATAAGAGATTGACTCAAGAGATGAAACAGCTAAAAAACAAATGGCCGAAGAGCGAAATAACTTACAGGCAGCAATATCTTCATTAGAGAGACGGCTAGAGGCTAAACTACGACCACAAAACTCGACAGGAATAGCTGGAGGATGTGGTCAGAAAATGACATATCAACAGTGAATAAAACCCATCCTTTCGGGGGGCAGCGCGGCGTCGGTTGAAGTTGATGAAGGGATGGTGCACGCAGGTACAACCACCCCTACCCCAAGCACGACAGTAAAAAACCATGACTGAATAACGCAGCATATACAGGCGCAGTTAGACAGAAACAGGAAGGTGTAGCTAACGTTAATAAACTGCTAGTCGATTTCATGAATGAGATGAAATCTTTCGTCGGCGAGGAATTAAAAACTCAAAGGCAGTACGTGAATGACGCTGTTAGCAGCTTGCAAAGGGCGATAAACAAGCGCTCTCGCTCGACCTCCGCTAGAAATAGCAAACACTCTAAGGGGAATCGCAACGACGCTGAAGCACCCATGCATCATGGCCAAAAATAACCCGAGAAGTGTGGAACAATTAGAGATCTGGCAGTGGAATTGCCGAGCTTTTCACAAACAAGCCGCAGCACTCCAGAGTTATATAAATGTGGCACCAATCAAACCCGACGTTATATGCTTGCAAGAAATTGGTGCCAGAATAGTGAAGCTTCTGGGTTATTATGTTTTTCAGAACCCAAAATATCCCCGTGTAGCGACGCTGGTGAGCAAGATGATTGCGGCAACAGATGAGTACATAGGAACGCTACAGATCAATCACCAAATTATCAGTTTATTCCCCTTAAAGAGAGGCAAAGCGAATACTATAACAGTGAACCTATACAGTCCTCCAAAAGACAAAGGCGAAGACTTCAATGCACTCCTTGCTGAGACGGTTAAAATCGCAGGCAACAAGGACTGCCTATTGGTTTTGGGTGATTTTAACGCACCCAGAACCACATGCATGGGGTTACCCAAAAGACTCGCCGAAGGGAACGCGTCTCGAACATGCTGCGTCTAGGCTGTGCCTGAGTTTAATAACTCCCCCAATCGCGCCCACTAGAGTGGGCAACAGCGTATGTAGAGACACGTTCCCGGACCTCACTTTCACCTTCAACCACAAAGACGCATCCTGGACAAACCTGAAGGAAAATCTAGGAAGCGACCATTACATTATAAGCGTCTCCATGTTGACACCCAAAATGCGCAGATTGATAGGCGATGCGGCGATCACAGATCGGACTGAGTTTAGGAAACGAAATCCTCTACCCGACTCTGTACCGAACTCAATAGAGGCATGGTCGGAGTACATAAAGTCGGTACACGTCGTCACTACGAAGAAAATAGCCCGAACCATAGAGACGCCAGCAGTAGACAGCCGTCTGCTACACCTATGGGAGAGCAGGCGCAGCCTACTAAAGTGTTGTAAACGTCAACGTCTCAATAGGACACTACTGCGTAGGATCGCTGCTCTTGCAGAGGAAGCAAACGACTATGCAAGCAAATTGGCTACCGAGGGATAGGTCAAGTTCTGCAGTTTGCTTCAGAACACACTGAGCACCGCGAAAACTTGGTCCATCCTAAGAAATATTCTTGATCCAGACAAGTCTGAATCGACAACAAGCAGAACACTGCCGAAAATCACAGAAACATTTCCGGACATGGACGATGACCTCGTGAAAGCCCTCAAGGAGAGATATATTTGCGATAGTCCACCAAGTAATTCGGCTAATCACATGAGTTACAGCGGAGCTAGAAATGAGAAACTAGACGAGCCGATAACAAAGGAGGAGGTCTTTGCAGCAGCTCAGGCAGTCAAGAGGAACACAACCCCCGGTGAAGACCAAATTACGAATGCGATGATAAGAAACCTTAGCGACAAAGCCACCGAAGGCATGCCAAAACAATTTAATGAACACTATTGGCTCAAAGGGAAGGTCCCTGCAGAATGGAAAACCGCCAAAATTATAACCATTCCGAAACCCGGAAAAAAGCCCTCCCTGCAGGCTTTCAGACCTATATCACTTACGTCATGTATGGGGAAGCTTTTCGAACGGGTCGTTCAGACCAGACTTCAGAATTTTATAGCGGACAGGGGGCTGTTTCCGGCCACCATGCTGGGCTTACGCAGTGGTCTCTCAACACAGGACGCTTTCCTCCTGATACAAGAAGAGGTCCTCAAGGGCGTTCCCAAAGGTGGAGAGCATTTGCTGCTTGCTCTAGACTTAAAGGGCACTTTTGACAATGTCTCTCATGAAGCTATACTCTCAGAGCTAAATATATTTGGTTGCGGGGAAAAGATATATAACTCTATAAAAGATTTTCTCACCGATCGGGAGGCGACAATTGGTATCTCAAGCGTTAGGTCTGAGCCATTCCGAATGCCAAACAAGGGAACGCCTCAAGGAGCCATAATATCTCCTCTGTTGTTTAATATCGCCATGCGTCGACTCGCTCGGGCCTTGGACTGTGTACCACAGCTAGGTTATACCCTCTACGCGGACGACATTACTCTGTGAGCCACACGGGTGTCCCTGGTCAGCAAAGAGCAGACTCTGCAAGAGGTGGCACTGGCTGTTGAAAACTTTGCCAGAACCAGTGGTCTCAGCTGCGCACCCGAAAAATCGGAGGTGATCAGAATACACAGCAAACGCTACAAAAGTAACGGAAGAATAGAAATTGAAATCGAAAAGCAGAAAATTAAAGAAGTCACCGTTGCCCGGATCCTGGGTTTTCTGCGTTCAAAGCAACAGTAGGGCAAATCACACTATCGGTCTTCTTAAATCAGCAACTGAACAAGTGGCTAGGATGATTCAGAAGATCACCTTCCACAAAAAAGGCATGAAAGAAAGTGATACGGCCCGTTTAGTGCAGGAGCTCGTAATGAGCAAATTGACATGCAGCTTGCCTTTCTACACGCTGAACAAGAGCGAGGAAGAGCAAGTAGATTCTATCATCAGAGGAGCTTACAAGGCAGCATTAGGCTTACCGATAAGCACTCCGACACAGAGGCTTCTCGAGATCGGCCTGCATAACACGTACGCTGAACTGAAAGCAGCACCATTGATCTCCCAGCGCAACCGCCTCAGCCAGACGAAGTCGGGAAGAGAAATACTGATGAGGGCGGGTATAACACCGCAACCACAAAACTTGGACGAGGAGCTGGTGGACGTATCAGACCCAGTCCGACGACAATATTTCGATCGCCCCTATCCCCAGGAACATGACCAAGGAGCGGCATCACGAAAGGCTAGAGGAGCGTGTAAAGTGGATCAGAAAATTAGTCAGAGGCAATCAGAACGTGCTATACGTTGACGCTTCCAGGTATAACAGGAAGCGCTGCGTCGTCACATTGGTAAGCAGTGACACGAGAAGCATAGCGTCCAGCGCATCACTGTACAGCCTTTCTCGCTGTTACCACCACCCAGCAACGACGGCTTTCGCGAGGAGGAGGAAAACGACCCGGCTCGGATGGCTCCGCGAGAGCTTCTTGCTCACCAGCGATGCACGCGGCAGAAATATGGCAACCCCCCACAAATCTCTTTAAAGGGGAAGACACCATAGACCTCCGTAAAATTCAAACGGGAGTTTATATAAATTTATTACGACTGCACAAAATGCATCCAACTTTGTATGAGTGCGATTGTCCGTGGTGTCGCGACTCGCCACCGACCCTTTACCATATCTCGTGGAGTTGTGCTAAACGGCCAAATGAACTTGATCACTTACAGCGTATGTATAGAATGGAAAACTCTTTGGAGCAATGGAAGGCACTCCTGGCTAGCTTGGACCCGGAGGTGCAACTAACACTCCTGGACCACGTCCGGCAGGCGGCACAAGCCAGTGGAGCCTCGAACATGGGGCCCCACCCATCTAGCTCCTAAACCCCTTCTGTTTCAACCCAATAAAGTTATTTCTCTCTCTCTCGCTTTCGAGCCTCATACTACTGTGGACTTCGCAGTTAAATATCAAGAAAAGACACATATGTTCAATATACTGAGCGTGGAAACAATCTGGTCCACTAGAATACTGAAAAATATTACAGTAAAAAAGCAGCCGTGATGGCATATTACCGTCCCCAGGTCTTGCACCAGATAATGATTCAGTTGATGATGATGAAGATAATCCCGGAGAAGACGGGCTCGGTGGACTAGGAACGGGCCCTGGACGTGGATTAGGTGGCTGCCGACTTGGCGGTCTAACAGCAGGCGGCTGACCTCGACCTGGTCCTGGGCCAGGTGGCGGCCTTGGTCGAGGTGGTCCTCTGATACGTCTAACGAGGACACTAAAGCAGCCAGGTGGAGCACAGCTGGGTGCTCGGCCAGGAGGACGGGGAGTGGGGACGGCGTTAGCACATGAATTATTTTCATTCAGAATCGCTGGAAGGATAAAAGCAAAAGCAGCCAAGAAGACCACATTTTGGAAGCTTCCAAACACCGCCATGATTATAACGCGAAAAGCGCTTCATATTCTGGTTCTGAGCGGACACATTTATATACGTTTTCCAGCGACGCACACAAAGAAAAAGATGACCTGAAATAGCTTCATAAGTATACTTTCTCATAAGTACGTCTTCTGATTCTTCACAGATGATAATGTATGACCAAATGAATAGCTGACATTTACATGCTTTAAGGTGCCGGAAACTATTGCGTTCGCTCGCTATGATTTGAAGTCGGGAGGGACGAGGTAACTAATTAGTGTATTTACCAACTCAGAGAGAGAAGGAGTGAGATTGGTCATGAGGAAAAGGGGCTACGATTTCTGTGCTTTTCACACTGATAATAACTCCGAATATTTCACCAATCTATAAGGTGGCATTTGTGAAAATTACATCGGTGATGGTGAGGGGAACCAATAATTGTTGTCCTGCGCGTCTTTTGTGCAGCGTTTTATTATAGTGAAGAACAGGCTGCATACAATATTGTTGATGATTTTTGGTATAGCTAAATTTGGGTAATAGTGCCTCTAACTTCCCATCGTTAACGATAAAGCGAATGCCGCAAGTGTGGCGTATTGGCCTGAAGTTGGTTGTAGAGGAGAGTTGGATGTGTCATGACCTTACAGCTTTACATGGAGGGCTGAAAAGTAAAAAAAAGAACGTCTGCTTCACAGCAGAAGAGAATGGTGATCTTACTTTATACGAAAGATCGTCTATACTGCAGCAAGGCAACTGCTCGAGAAAAACCTCTGCTATTTACAGGAAATATCACGTTCTCCTTATGGAACGCCATGATTGATCGAAAAAAATTAGGAACTCAACCTCACTTGTTGACAATTATCCCATTCAAACTAGATATCGCAGAATAGAGGCTGCTGTGATATGCCGCTGGCTGCAGTGCGTGAGTTTATTTATTTATTTATTAGAATACCCTCAGGGCCCCATAGGGCATTACAGAGGGGGTGGGTACAACATATATAACACACAAGAAAAAAGACAAAATAAAGAAACAAGTATCAGATGCGCAAATCAGGAAGGCAACATAAGTCAACTAAAAATGTATAAGAATTCAAGCACATACAAGACAAAGATAGATAATAGAAACTGCGTATAGTTACAAGCATTGCTGAGAAATTGCAGTCTTGAATAAAAAAGGGTCTGTTATTGATACAACGGAAGAGGGAAGGTGGTTCCAATCGGCGGCTGTTTTCGGTAAGAAGGCTGCTGAAAAGAATTTGGTGCGGCAAAACGGAATGGCAACCTTATGCTGATGATCAATGCGCGATGAGTGGTATGACGGTTGTGAAATGAGGTCTCGCTTCATTGATGGATTGTGAAAAAATATCTTATAAAAAAAATGCAGTAGCGCCAGTTTCCTCCGGACAGTTAAATTGGGTAGGTCAAGGTTAGATTTCATTTCTGATATGCTAGCAGTACGGGAATAATTAGAACAAATGAACCGAACTGAGTGGTTCTGAACAGATTCTAACGCGTTAATTAAATTTTGCTGCACGGGATCCCATATAGCGGACGCGTACTCAAGCTTTGGGCGAATTAGTGATCGGTATAATAGAATTTTGAGGGACAGCGGAGCGCGAGAAAAGTTGCGGCGTAAGTATCCTAGCGTTCGGTTAGCGTTATTACAGATGTAGGTAACATGCGTGTGCCAAGATAGATTGTTGGTAATGTAAACGCCGAGGTACTTATATGAAGAGACATGCTGGAGGGGAACGGCGTTAATTCTGTAGGTACAGGGGGGAGAAATAGATCGCCGGGTTATTGACATGCATTTAGATTTGTTAGAGTTGAGAGTCATAAGCCATTTATTGCACCAGGTTGAGACAGTGTCAAGGTCTCACTGTAGAAATTGGTTATCATATTCATTGTTTATTTCGCGGTAAATTACACAATCATCTGCAAATAACCTTATAGCGGAGTTAATGCTGTCTGGGAGATCATTAATATATATAAGAAAAAGTAAAGGGCCTAATACGGAACCTTGGGGTACGCCGGATGTTACTTTAGAAAGAGGTGAGTTATAGCCATTAGTTGTTACAAACTGAGTGCGATTAGTCAGAAAGCATTCAATCCATTTAAGAATGTTCGGGTCAATGTTTAAGGCACTAATTTTCAGGAGGAGTAATTGGTGAGGTACTTTATCGAAAGCTTTTTGAAAGTCAAGAAAAATGCAATGCACAACTGAGCCGCGATCTAAAGCCGATGCTATGTCATTAGTAAAATAAAGAAGTTGGGTTTCACATGAGTAACTTTTTCGGAATCCGTGCTGGTAGGGAGTAAAAAAAAAAATTTGATTCTAGGAATGAGACAAGGTTGGAGTAAATTATATGTTCTAACATTTTACAAGGAACACTGGTTAGGGAAATTGGTCTGTAATTGAGAGGAGACTGTGTGTTACCAGATTTGTGCAGAGGGACCACCTTCCCCACCTGCCAGTCAAGCGGCAAAGTGGAGGTCTGAATAGATTGCAAAAAGATTAAGGACAAGTAAATTGATGAATACAATGCAGTGTTTTTTAGAAACTTTGAGTTGATTTCATCTACGCCACAAGAAGAGGATAACTTAAGCTTGTGAATTAAATTTTGCACTCCAACGGCATCAACGGTATCGTCTTGCTTCGGATTCAAACAGACGACAGCCCTCTTCGTGACGACTGTCGTAGCCAGGAGACCAGACAGCACAGCTTATTGAACGTCTTTGCGATAACACAAGAATACAATCATCGTCAATCCTTCAGATTGCGCTGAGCACATATAATGTCGATATAGAAACCAGTCTCGTATAAAGTCCGCAAACAACATCGTGCAGAACGACTGTGATATCTTTCTGGAAATATAACGCCAACCCATTTGCAGAACAGTTGTTGATAATAAGAATGTATAGTATGCCGCACAAGAGCGACTGACTGTGACTTATTGTAAGCCCTGCCTGCCTCTGTTGGCGTAGTTGCGCACGTCTGTAAGGATAGACTCCAAACGTGTCAAACGGTGACAGAGGATGATGAAAGTGCTCATACCGTTTCATGTCTCCAGTATAGTCACCCTTTTTAAGCTTATTTTTTTCACTGCCCTTTCTCTTTCTTCATGGTACGCTATCTAGTTATTGAGCGGGTTATTGTGAACAAGACATGATTTCTGCCTTTCACCTTTCTCCCAATGAATTCCTTTCTGCTGCATTCAGCCCCGTCTAATTGTAGATTTTTTACTTTAATAACTAGCAACAGCGACAACTCGACATTGCAATTGCTCCCTTTAGGCTCATACACACTAAGTAGAAAATTTTTTTCGAGACAAATTGCGTTGTCTACGCTGTTGTTTAGCGTAATCATCAGCCTAACTACGCCTTTTGCAGGTAATGGCCCTTCCCGTGCTCCGCCAATCCACGCGACCCTAGATACCTCAAAATTGTAGCATACGATGTTATTTATATGTCAATATATAACTTCTAAATTTCCGCAATATACTTTGCAATACTACAATCACATTATTCTGTCATATTTCAGCTTCAGAAGTTCGACTAACGCTACCTATATAGCAGTTGTGACTGTGATAGTCCCAACCATTGTTCTGAGAGTTTCGTTTTTGTAATTTGTGCTTCTAGGAACGGCTTGTTAAACAGTATAAAAGCCGCTCAGATACTTTGCAGAGACAAATAATTCCATGAAGATATTTCTCAGTTCCATGCAGCGCATGTCACATCTCATTCGCACACAATGGTCTAGTCAGCCTTTAGAAATATTTAGGGCATGCATCGAAACAGAAAGCAAGCATGATCAAGTGTATATCTCACTGGATGCACAAGTGCATACTTTTCGTGCTATAGAAAGCTGTAACAGATGAGCTTCCCCATTAGGCTTTTGTCAGTTGAGCCGCAGCTATTTACACCTTTTTCGATCATTCCTTCCTCACAACTATTGCTTTTTGAATGGCCAACATAGAAGTATTTTGTATGATTGCTCACAGCTGGGATTGATATCTGTGGTATGTTATAGCTCAGGCAAGTTTACCGAACGCCTTAGCAATGATGTCATTCTACGACTGGGTTAGGGTTGCGACATCTCGTTGCGGTTTCCCAAGCTAAGCACGTCTCGAATGGCACGTCTTTCTTCGTCTGCTTCTTGCAACAGTTTTCTCTCAAGCCTCTTTTCTTGTGCTTTAACTGTGTCTTTAATAGAGCTTGGGGCAACGTGACCATGACAAGCTGGAAGTGGATTTCGAGGGGTGGCGCATTGGCGCATGACCGGTATTCGTTCTACATCACTACCAGAAGAATAATAAAGGTAGCCAAAATACAAAATTCTGAAGCTTGGAGCCTCCGCAATGGTCATTAGACTGGAAAGGCTTCCAATTTACAACTGTCAACAGTTGCATTTATATACACACTCCAACAACGCTCACTTAAATAGGACATACCTCAAATATTTGCATATATTACGTTCAGGCGCTTTCACTGATTCTCCAATTACGGAAGTCTATGATTAAGGCGATCGCTGACCGTTACATATTAATTTGCACAAATATTGTTTTTGTTTGCAGCTGATTATACCGTTTCTTTTAGTTTGAGCTCAAGGGATGACAATCAAGATAAATAATGTAATATCGAAGATAGCAACCTGGAAGGCCAAAAGTATGCAATAAATTTGATAAGAACAGGAAGTGCATCATTTAACTTCGGTTTATGTCATCAATGTTAACGAATCGATGTGAGGCATCTAGCTTCAGCACTCAGCTACCGATGTACGGGGGCTTCTAAGCGAATTGAAATGACACTCTCATAATATGTAATGCTTAATAAGTTTGACCATAAAGTAATGAGAATACTAAGATACATATGGGAAAATAAAACCTTTGCTACGATGGTGGAAACACAAGATTCATGTCTGCAGCAGCTAACTGGTCGAAAATGTTCCTGGCGTTGTACCAATGTGCACTGCTAAGGCCAACATCATTGCCAAGGCTAACCTTTCCGTCGTGTATTTTCGAAGCAACTTCTACATGGCACCATT